TCATCAATGCGTAGTCGTCTTTTCAGAACAAGAAATTTAAAAATGTTTGAAATGGTAAATTCTCGTAGACAAATATGCATCTTGCAATTAAGCTCCGCCCCTCGATTTGACAAGGAATTATAATTGCGAATTGAGATCGGGGCGGATTTGGGTGGAGTCTGATATTTTTTTCTTGATATACGTTGTATTCTTTGAACAAGACTATACTCAAAAAGATGTTTTTAATTTTTCGTGGAGAAATAAGGATTTTGCAGTTAAGCTCCGCCCCCTTCGTTCATGGCGAATAAAAAAAATCATCACAATTGTGATAGGGCGGGTGGGCGGGGCTTATATTTTGTCCATTTTCATAAATACGTAGTCGTCTTTTCAGAACAAGAAACTTAAAATTGTTTAAAATGGTAAATTCTTGTAGACAAATATGCATCTTGCAATTAAGCTCCGCCCCTCGATTTGACAAGGAATTATAATTGGGAATTGAGATCGGGGCGGGTATGGGTGGTGCCTGATATTTTTTCTTAATATACATTGTATTCTTTGTATAAGACGATACTCAAAAACATATTTTTAATTTCTCGTGGAGAAATAAGGATTTTGCAGTTAAGCTCCGCCTTCTTGGCTCACGACGAATAAAAAAAAAATTGTCACAATAGAGATAGGGCGGGTGGGCGGAGCTACATTTTGCCGTTTCTTTCTTAATATGTGTAGACTTATTTCGACAACAAGAAACTGAATACATGTCATTTTTGTAAAAATCAACTTAAAACTCCTCCACTTTTCTTCTACAATCCGGGAACATTAACGTCAACAGCAAGAATTGTGAAAAACATGACAGATTACTTGCAGTAGATCTTTTTCCAAAAAATCCACTTTGATAAGAAGTAATAAGTAAATGGGTTAACAGTAGAATAAATTCGTTTGTACAATAATGATTCAAATATTTTAGCGAAGTCGCATAACAGACTAATGGGTCGGTAATTCTCAACATAGGTCACATTTCCTGATTTAAATACCAGACAGATGTTAGACGTTTTCCAAATATGAGGTACTACTTTTAATTTATTGTTTGTCTTACAGGCTTAATAAGATTCTCGGTAGGGGTACAAATTAACTTAATCTACATAATACAAATAAATCAATAAAAACAAATAAAATAAATATTCGAGTTTTATATAATAATAATTGTTCTTGATTCTTTCTGCTTGCCCACCTCTTGCCATAGTTCACTTATCTTCAATACTTCTTTCATCCAGTCCAGTCCTCTTCCATCCTCGTTTAGCACTTCTTCCCTACTTCCCTCCGATTCTCTCAATTCTTCACATCCTTCCAGCATATGCTCTATTGTTTCTCCCGCTCTCCAACATATCCTACACCTTCTGTCAGTTTAATTCATCCAAAAAATATTCCCTTTCTCTTTCTTCTTCTCGTTTTTCTCTTTCTTTCTTCCCATTTTCTCCTATAATTCTCTCTTGCTTTAGGAACTCTTCTTTCCTTCCTTTGTTATTCTTCCATTTTCTTAATGTTTCCCTTGCTTTTCTCTTCAACTCACTACATTCTCCGTTCCATCCATTATCGCTCCCTTGCCATATGTATATCTTTCATTTTACTTCCCGAGCGTAAGCAAAGGAAGTATTGTAATCGAGTCCGTCGGCCGACTCTCTACTTTTACGTTTTCTCGATCTTTCATGACCCCTAGAAGACGAAGAAATAGGTCTCCCATTTCCGTCTGTCTGTCAGTCTGTCCGTCCGTCTGTCCGTCTGCCGTCCCGGATTTTTATTAGACAGATAATCTCCGAAAGTACTCGACCGATTGTTGTGAAATTTTGTACTTATATTAAGAATATCATGTAGATGGTAAAACGCTAACCAAAATTTGTCTAATCATCCCCACCACTAATGCGATGACGTCACTTCAAAATTGTACATAGTAAATGGGTTTTCAATTGTATAAAATAACATAGTCCTACACATGTAGTTTACAACTCTGAATCGACTTTTCACCCGAAACGTCCAGATTTTTGGAAAAAAATCAAAATTATAAAACAACATTTTGAAATTTAATTTTTAATCTGCTAACCAGAATGCTTTGAAATGTTGCAGATGTTTTAAGGCTATAAAGAGCATCATAAATCTTTAGTCAAAAAATATTTGCTTATCCCCTCCAAAAACTTGATGACGTCAGCTCAAAAGTTTGTGGAATAAATCATATCTAAAATGTACAAAATATGATGAGCCTGTACTTGTCATTTATCACTCTATTCATATTTTTTGGATTTGCATATACAGAGTGACTCAAAAAAATTAATGAATGCGTAAATACTTATATTTTATTGATTTAATCAGGAACTACAAAACGGAATGCTCTGACATCTTGCACATGTTTTAAGGTTATAAAGAGCATAACAAATGTTTAGTCAAAATATATTTGCTTATCCCCTCCAAAAACTTAATGACGTCAGCTCGAAAATTTGCCGAATAAATCATATCTAAAATGTACAAAATATGATCAGTCTGTACTTGTGATCTATCACTCCATTCATATTTTTTGGATTTGCATATACAGGGTGATTCAAGAAAATAAATGAAAGCGTAAATTTATTTTACTGATTTACTCAGGAACTACAAAACCGAATGCTTCGAAATCTTGAAGATATTTTAAAATTATCATAAGCATGGTAAATTTTTGATCAAAATGTCGTCCCCCCTAAATAATTTATGACGTCACCACAAAATTTTGCTGAATAAATCCTATCTAAAATGTACAAAATATGGTGAGTCTCTTCTTGTGATTTATCATTCCATTCAAATTTTTTCGATTTGCATATACAGGGTGACTCAAAAAAATTTATGAATGCGTAAATTTATTTTATTGATTTAATCAGGAACTACAAAACCGAATGCTTTGAAATCTTGCAGATGTTTTAAGGTTATAAAGAGCATAATAAATTTTTAGTCAAAATATATTTGGTTATCTTCTACAAAAAACTGATGACGTCAGCTCAAAAGTTTGCCGTATAAATCGTATCTAAAATCTACAAAATATGATGAGTCTGTACTTGTGATTTATCATTCCATTCATATTTTTGGATTTGCATATGCAGGGTGACTCAAAAAAATTAATGAAGGCGTGAATTTATTTTATCGATTTAATCAGGAATTACAAAACCGAATGCTTTGAAATCTTGGGAATATTTTAAAGTTATTATAAGCATGGTAAACTTTTGTTCAAAATGTATTTGTTCATCCCTCCTAAAAAAATTGATGACGTCACCCTTAAATTTTGCTGAATAAATCCTATCTAAAATGCAAAAAATATGATGAGTTTGTACTTGTGATTTATCATTCCATTCATATTTTTTAGATTTTCTTAAGAGGTGGTTCGAAAAAATTAATGAAGTCAATTTATTTTATTGATTAAATTAAAGGCAACACTTATTATTAGTATTACACCCCAACCAACCCAATTTGGTAGACAAAAAATTTGTTAAAGGAAAAAGTCGGTTGAAACAAAAGGGTAGCACGCTTATTTACATCGACTTTAACATTACAGACCTGCATTTGTTTTATGCGCTCACTTGGTTCCGCGAATGTGGAATAGACATGTTTATAATCAACCAATTGTGAATTTCACCGTCAAGAATTAAAATAAAACCCAATGTTTTATATAATAAGCGGAAGTCGAAGCAATAAAACCGATGGTCGTTTTGTTTACAGTTTCTCTGTTTGACTCTCACGTATGCTGTTACGCTTGTCATCTTAAATTAAGAATGTTTATACATAAACGATTTTCAGTTGCCTTTCATATTACCAGACAGCGGATTTTTGTCGGGCTACGTCACGTTTAATCGGTACTAATTCCATAAATATAATTAACGATTTATTAATCAAACGACTAAGTAAATGAGAACGGGAATTAACAGCAGAGTGCAACGAAACAGCGTTATTCTAATCTCAAATAAACGAACTGCAGTCCGCAACCGCAATGAATTCGCATCCCGCACGAGCCGTACCGAGTTTGGCCTTGCCTAGCCCAACAGAAATCCGCTCTCTAGATATTACACACCGGCGCCGTATACCTGAGTAAATTGTTTCGTTATTTTATTGATTATAAGAAATCAATATTCAAAACGACCCAATTCATTTTCCAGAAAATTTGGGAATACAATAATTTTATTCTTAGTATTACACTACATCTATCCCAACTGATATACGTGTCCTTGCAAAAATGTTGATGACGTCATCACAATTTTTTTTTAAATTCCCACTACAAAAATGTAATGAGAAAAAAAAACACAATAGGCATGCAGTCGTCAAGTTTCCGACAGCGAGGGAAGTACTGTCTAAACTCTTTAGACCAATTTTTTCCGTAGCTTCTACAATTAGCTTGCTCAGTTCTGCTATCATAGCTTCTATATCTGCTTTCACTTCGAATTTCTTTTTTGCTAGTCTACTTCTGTGTTTTTTTCCCTCTTCATCCCATATTCTTTTTTCTATTTCTGTCTATAACTGTCTATTCTTTTTTAACTATTTAATTATGCATTTTAAACGATCTAATTTAGCTCTAATATACCACCCTAATAATAATTGGTTTATCTGTAGGAGTGGTTAATAATAATAATAATAATTCGCTAGTGTTTAAATGGTTATGCTTTAATGAATTTTTCTTTTGTTGGTTTTGTTTATAAATTCATCAACAACAGTCCCAGGCAAGACATTGTTTAATTTAGTTATCTCATCAGGTAAATAACTATTTTTTTTAAACTAAATTTTGCACATTGTCTTCAAGTTCGTAAATTATGTCAACAAGAGGTTTTAACTGCTGTTGCACAATGCTGTATTCTGAATGAAAATGTGTTATTGCATTTAGAACACTTAATCATCATCTTTTAAAATAACAGTACTCTAGATGAAACACATCAGATCCGAAAATCTTTAGAACAGGAAACAGAATCTATCTCTCTTGTTGATCAATATGCAGATTTATCAGTAAGAAAAACTCAACATAATTCCAATCGTTTATTTTTTTACGTTGTCTCTACTTTCTAGTTGCTCCATTTCCCTCACGTCCGCACTCACACTCCAGCTCTGTTCCTCCCCAGAAGTAAAAATAAAAGAAAACACCGCCGCAAAAGCATTCACTCCGACCAGAATCCAGAAAACGGAAGCCCACTGCTCGAACCCTTGTTCCTCTTTAGTAAAGAAAGCCACAACTTCAGTAGTACCATAACCCACCAAAGCGGCAGGCACTTGACTCACACCAAGAATCGTCCCCGAGAAAGCACGCGATATATCCACAGGATTGGTAAAAACTCCTGCTGTAACGCAACCCATCAAACCCAAAGATCCTGTAAACACCATAATGGACACTATTCCGCTGTAGCCCCACAATGCTTGCACCGTGAAGAGGCATCCAGCACCCACGAAGAACAAACCATTGAAAAATTTTCGAATAGTCGTGGTTGAGAATTTTCCGCTTTTTTTGAGTTTGTCGGCGATTATGCAGGACGCTAGTGACACTAAGTATCTGGCTAGAAATGAAGGAATTAGTTGGGTGTAACACATGGCACACTTTTTACCTAAGTAGGGTAAACTGGAAAACCATCCGTTCGCTTTGATGTTGAAATGGAGCACGTAACCCATGTAGGTCGGAAGTTGATTGAAAGCCACGAATAGAGTGCACCCAGCACAAGTGTTACCCACTATTACCGACCACACAGGTCCCGAAGTCAACATTTTCATCCAAGGAATCGGAGGTTTCTTCAGTGACGTGTTGACAGGTTTTATCTCGAGTCGAAGTTTTTCCTTCTCGGTGGTGCTTATCCGTGGATGTTCTTCAGGTGAGTCGTAAATCAAGTAGAACCAACACAGGGACCAAGTCAGAGCTATGCTTCCCGTGACGTAGAAAACGCTAGCCCAGCCCCAGTAAGCTATCAGGTACCCACAAACCGGCAACGTGACGGCGACTCCCAAAGAACTAGCTACCATATGGGACATAAAAGTTGCAATGTCAGCTGGTGGTATCCATTTCGCGGCCATGGGAGGCGTGGAAGGCCAGTATATGCCTAAGGACACACCCAGACAAAATCTAGCCACGACGAGCCAAAGGTAGCCCATATGGGCTGCTACGGGTGTGAGCAGGGTCAAAATGCTGGCACTCAGAAGACCAATTCCTACCACAATCTTGGTTCCTAGTTTCTCTGAAAGTCGCCCTCCGGGAATTTGGGTTATGATGTAACCCCAGAAGAAGTAGCCCAAAACATCGTTCTTTTGCTCCTCGTTCCAGTAGTAGCGAGGACCGTGGTCTTCTTGAGTGACGTTGGAATTATTCCTGAAGACCATTTCAACTATTGCGATTGAAATGTTGACTCGGAGCATGTGGTGGATCATGAATCCCAGAAAAACGGTGAGTGAGAGGACGCATTGACATGTTAAAATTTCTACAATCATAATTTAAGTGGTTGTAAAGTGTTTTGGATACGTACCTGAGGACATTATCTTCAAGCAATGAATCGTTTCGCGTATCAGAGAGAAATGAGACTGGATTGTCATTCCAAGACGAACGAAGAGGATTGTGAAAACAAATATTTAAACCCGACTTTAATCACTAGGTGGTCTGAAAGTATCAATCAGTTAGTGACATTTTAATTTGTCGGATAATGTACTCTTACAAAAAGGGGTAACTAGTTAGTTTAGACATATTGGAGCAACAGCGCTCCGTTAATTTCCATTTTATTTAAGAATTTATTTTGTGCGGAGACAGGCGTTTATTTTATGACCACACTTGATAATCGTACTCTATTGTTAAAGTGTCAATATCAATAGTCACGTTTGTTTGTAGCGTTTATCAGATTATGTTTTGATCTTCATTTTTTGATTTGTTTAATAACACATTGTCTAATATTTGTTGTTGCAGCGGTACTTGCTAAGATAAGACTGAGTTTGGCAAATGAAATACCCTCTAAAAAAAGAGAGGGTGGGTGGGCGGGGCTAGTACCTGCTAACATAAAACTGATTTTGGCAGATGAAATATCTTCTAAAAAACGAGAGGGCGGGTGGGTGGGGCTAGTACTTCGTAAGATATGACTGATTTGGAAAATGACATACCCTCTAAGAAAAAAAGGGAGGGGGGGGCTAGTACTTGCTTAGATAAGACTGTTTTGTTTGTCCTTTTCTTAGAGGGTATCTCATTTGGCAAAATCAGTTTTATCTTAGCAAGTACTAGCCCCGCCCACCCACCCTCTCTTCTCTTAGAAGGTATCTCATTTGGCAAAATCACTCTTATATTAGCAGGTACTAGCCCCGCCCACCCGCCCTCTCTTCTCTTAGAAGGTATTTCATTTGCCCAAATCACTCTTATCTTAGCAAGTACTAGCCCCGCCCACCCACCCTCTCTTTTCTTCGAGGGTATCTCATCTGCCAAAATTACTCTTATCTTAGCAAGTACTAGCCCCGCCCACCCACCCTCTCTTTTCTTCGAGGGTATCTCATCTGCCAAAATTACTCTTATCTTAGCAGGTACTAGCCCCACCCACCCACCCTCTGTTCTCTTAGAAGGTATCTCATTTCCCAAAATCACTCTTATCTTGGAAACTACTAGCCTCGCCACTCGCCTCTCTTTTCTTAGAAGGTATCTCATTTGGCAAAATCAGTTTTATCTTAGTAGGTACTAGCCCCGCCCACCCACCCTCTCTTTGATTTAGGGATTTATCGAATCCAGATATTTGAATGTTTTGATTGTTCAATTTCTCGATTTATCAATTTTTCAATTTTTAACTTTCCTTCTCGGCTTTCCACTCCTTGATATATCGATCCTCTGATTTTACGATTTCTCGATGTCTCAGTTTTTGAATTTTTCGATTTTTTTACTTTTGGGCTTTTCAATTTTTCGATTTTCCAAGTTTTTGATGTTTCGATTTTTCGGCTACCCGATTTTTCAACTTTTCAATTTTAAAAATTCTGGAATTTGTCGATTTTTCATTTCAGTTTATCGATTTTAAAATTTTAGATTTTCTAATTTTTATTTTTTGTTTTTTTGGATGCATTTTTCAATTGTGCGATATTTTAATTGTTTAATCTTTTAAACGTAAAATTTCTCTATTTTCTGATTTTTTGATTTTTTAGTTCTTCGGTATTTCGATTTTTCAATGTTTCAAATTTTGACGTTGCTAAATGTTCAGTTTTCCGATTTCTCAATTAATCTATTTTTGATTTTCTCATTGTTCTCCAAGTTTCGATTCTTCAATTCTTCGATTTTTCGAATTTGATTTTTTGGTTTTTCGATTCCTCAATTTTCCAATTTCTCAATTTTTGGATATATATGTTTCAGTTTTGCGATTTTCCAATAATTTGATTCTCCGACTTCTCGATTTTTCGACTTCTGGGTTTTTTGATTTTTCACTTCTTGGATTTTCAGTTTTTCGTTTTATAAACTTTAGATTTTTCAATTTTCCGCCTGCTTCATAGTTCGATTTCTCAAATTTTCAACTTTTCGATCGAATTTAATTTTCAATTTTTAAAATTCCAGATTTTTCAGTTTCTCGAGTTTTTAGTTCTTGTATTTTTTGATTTTTCAATTTTCCGAATTTTTAAATTTTCCATTTTCCAATTTTTTGAGATCTCGATTCATCGAGATTCGGATGTTTCGTTGCTTTGATTATTCAATCCCTCAATTCATCAATTTTTCCATTTCTAACTTTTCCATCTTTCGATTTTGGCCTATTAGATTTCAGTTTTTGAATTTTTCGATGTTTCGAAGTATGGATTTCTCGGTTTGTCGACGTTTTTACTTTTGGGCTTTTCAATTTTTCGATTTTCCAATTTTTTGATGTTTCGATTTTTCGGTTATACGATTTTTCAATTTTTCAATTTTTTATACTTTGGAGTTTGTCGATTTTTCAGTTTTTCGGTTTTTAAATTTTAGATTTTGGAATTTTTATTTTTTGATTTTTTGATGTTTGGAAAAATTTGGATCCATTTTTCAATTGTGTGATATTTTAATTGTTCAATGTTTTAAATTTAAAATTTTTCTATTTTCTGATTTTTTGATTTTTTATTTCTTCAGTATTTCGATTTTTCAATTTTTCAAATTTTGACGTTGCTAAGTATTCAGTTTTCCGATTTCTCAATTAATCTATATTTTGATTTTTCCATTTCTTGATTTCTCGAAGTTTCGATTTTTCGGTTCTTCAATTCTTCGATTTTCGAATTTGCTTTTTTGGTTTTTTGATGTCTCAATTTTACGATTTTTTATTTTTTGGATTTTCAGTTTTTCGTTTTTGAACTTTTGATTTTTTAATTTTTCGACTGTTTCATATTTCGATTTCTCAAATTTTCAACTTTTCGATAATTTAATTTTTCAATTTTTATTATTCTAGATTTTTCAATTTTCCGTATTGTTAAATTTTCCATTTTCCAATTTTTTGAAATCTCGATTTATCGAGATTCGGATGTTTCGATGTTTTGATTGTTCAATCTCTCGATTTATCAATTTTTCCATTTCTAACTTTGCCATCTTTCGATTTTGACCAATTAGATTTCAGTTTTTGAATTTTTCGATGTTTCGATTTTTGGATTTCTCGGTTTGTTTATTTTTTTACTTTTGGGCTTTTCAATTTTTTGATTTTCCAATTTTTTGATGTTTCGATTTTTCTGTTATCTGATTTTTCAATTTTTTGATTTTTTAAATTTTGGAGTTTGTCGATTTTTCAGTTTTTCGATTTTAAGAGTTTAGATTTTTAGATTTTTATTTTTTGATTTTTTGGATCAATTTTTCAATTGTGCGATATTTTAATTGTTTAATGTTTTAAATGTAAAATTTCTCTATTTTCTGATTTTTTGATTTTTCAGTTCTTCGGTATTTCGATTTTTGAATTTTTCAAATTTTGACGTTGCTAAATGCTCAGTTTTCCGATTTCTCAATTAATCTATTTTTGATTTTCTCATTGTTCTCCAAATTTCGATTTTTCAGTCCTTCAATTCTTCGATTTTTCGACTTTGCTTTTTTGGTTTTTCAATTTCTCAATTTTCCAATTTCTCCATTTTTGGATATTTGTTTCAGTTTTGCGATTTTCCAATATTTTGATTCTCCGACTTTTCGATTTTTCGACTTCCGCATTTTTCGATTTTTTATTACTTGGATTTTCAGTTCTTCGTATTATAAACTTTAGATTTTTCAATTTCTCGACTGTTTCATATTTTTAACTTTATGATAACTTAATTTTTAAATTTTTAAAATTCTAGATTTTTCAATTTCTCTAGTTTTCAGTTCTTCTAAGTATATTTTAATTTTTCAATTTTCCGAATTTTTAAATTTTCGATTTTTCAATTTTTTGAGATCTCGATTTACGGAAATTCGGATGTTTCGGTGCTTTGATTGTGTTCAATCTCACCATTTATCAATTTTTCCATTTCTAACTTTTCCATTTTTCGATTTTGGCCTATTAGATTTTAGTTTTTGAATTTTTCGATGTTCCGATTTTTGGATTTCTCGGTTTATCGACTTTTTTACTTTTGAGCTTTTCAATTTTTCGATTTTCCAATTTTTTGATGTTTCGATTTTTCGGTTATCCGAGTTAGTCGACTTTTCAGCTTTTCGATTTTGAAATTTTAGATTTTCGAATTTTTATTTTTTGATTTTTTGATGTTTGGAAAAATTTGGATCAATTTTTCAATTGTGCCATATTTTAATTGCTCAATGTTTAAATTTAAAATTGGTCCATTTTCTGATTTTTCAGTTCTTCAGTGTTTCGATTTTTCAAATTTTCAAGTTTTGACGTTGCTAAATGTTCAGTTTTCGGATTTCTGAATTAATCTATTTTTGATTTTCCTATTTCTCGACTTTTCGAAGTTTCGAATTTTCATTTCTTCAATTCTTCGATTTTCGACTTTGCTTTTTTGGTTTTTTGATGTGTCAATTTTTCGATTTTTTATTTTTTGGATTTTCAGTTTTTCGTTTTTTAAACTTTAGATTTTTCAATTTTCCGACTGTTTTATATTTTGATTTCTCGGATGTTCAACTTTTCGATAATTTAATTTTTCAAATTTTAAAATTCCACATTTTTCAATTTCTCTAGTTTTCTAGTTTTCAGTTCTTCTAAGTATATTTTAATTTTTCAATTTTTAGAATTTTTAAATTTTCCATTTTTCAATTTTTTGAGATCTCGATTTATCAAGATTCAGATGTTTCGACGCTTTAATTGTTCAATATCTCGATTTATCAATTTTTCCATTTTTCTAACTTTTCCATTTTTCGATTTTGGCATATTAGATTTCAGTTATTGTATTTTTCGATGTTTCGATTTTTGGATTTCACGGTTTGTTTATTTTTGTACTTTTGGGCTTTTCAATTTTTTGATTTTCCAATTTTTTGATGTTTCGATTTTTCCGTTATCCGATTTTTCAATTTTTTGATTTTTTAAATTTTGGAGTTTGTCAATTTTTCAGTTTTTCGATTTTAAGATTTTAGATTTTTATTTTTTGATTTTTTGGATCAATTTTTCAATTGTGCGATATTTTAATATTGAATGTTTTAAATTTTAAATTTCCCTAATTTCTGATTTTTTGATTTTTCAGTTCTTCAGTATTTCGATTTTTGAATTTTTCAAATTTTGACGTTGCTAAATGTTCAGTTTTCCGATTTCTCAATTAATCTATTTTTGATTTTCCCATTGTTCTCAAAGCTTCGATTTTTCAGTTCTTCAATTCTTCGATTTTTCGACTTTGCTTTTT